GAGAAGGTACTGATACCACCCAGTGCTGCATATATATGAAATTGTAGGCCATGGTAAAGATGGGGATTTTGAAGCTTAGGCCATTTAAAGGTTAAAACACATGAAAGGTCCTGAGAAGTTCTGCACTGAAAAGGCTTGTCTCAGCTTGGTTAATTCACTGTTTCATATGACTCCATGTGACTCCTGCGTTAACATCCCAGGGTGCACTGGGCTGCTCTGCCACACTCTTTAGAGAGGGAATGTTGCTGCAGATAGACTCTTAACTGGAAGCTTCTAAGACTTTAGCTTTTTCATTTATTGAGGGAAGAGCTTGGCGATCTATTAGCCAGAACTAAGAGTCAAATTAGCAGAGATGCTGTTCCCCTGGTTGAGCTTTGTCAACCTCTTTCCAAACCTGGCAGGCAGCAAATAACCCAGGAGGATTTCAGTGCCAAATAAGAGTTGGGGTGTAAGACCCTTTCATCTGGCTAGTAAGCCTTTGACTTTCACTAGATGATCTTGCCTATCAATTTAGAGCGCTTGCATTTTTTTCTCTTCTCTGAACTTTACAGAAGCTGTGCATTCAACTATACTTTTTTTTTTTAGTCAGTCGTGGGGCTTGAACTCTGAGCCTAGGCACTGTCCCTCAGCTCTTCAGCTCAAGGCCAGCACTCTACCAGTTGAGCCACAGCACTACTTCCGGCTTTCTGAGTGGTTTATTGGAGATAAGAGTCTCGTGGACTTTCCTGCCTGGGCTGGCTTTGAACCGCAACCCTCAGATCTCAGCCTCCTGAGTAGCTAGGATTATAGGTGTGAGCCACCAGCACCCGGCTTCAATTATACTTTTTGTATGGCATCTACACAATGGCAGCAATACAACATGTGTCTAATAATATTCATTGAGGTTATGTTTATACTGGTTTGCTTTTTCTTTTATCAAACCAACAGTGTGGCTTTTATTCCAGGTATTCTGTAAGGTCTGCTCCTCCCAGCCTTTTCTTTCATCCTTTCTGCCTTTGAGCAGGAAGAGGCAATGGGGAAAAACTTGATCTTCCATCTCTGTCTTTTTTTTTTCTGTTTTAATTTTGTTTTTTGTTATAAAGATGATGTATCAAAGGGTTACAGTTATATAAGTCAGGTACAACGTTTTTTTTTGGGGGGGGGTCCGGTCATGTGGCCTGAACTCTGGGCCTGGGCACTGTCCCTCAGCATTCCAGCTAGTGCTCTACCACTGAGCCACAGCACCACTTCCGGCTTTTTTCTTATGTAGTGCTGAGGAATCGAGCCCAGGGCATGCAAGGCAAGTGCTCTACCACTGAGCCACCTTCCCAGCCCCACATTTGTCTTTTTACTAACTGTGTGATCTTGAAAAGTCAGTCTGGCAGCATCTTTATCTCAGTATCTGTAAAATGAGAACACATACTAAATGATCTCAAAGACAAGGCTTCAGTTTTATTGTATTCTATTATTTATTTATTTTGTTCAAGACCAGGACTCACACTTGGTATCTGATACTTTCACTCACTGGCTGGCATTCTATTAGCTGAGCTACACCTCCAACCCCAAGGCTTTAGTTTTAGAACTCCAGGTCTGCGTTGTCCAATATGGAATCCACTTGTAGCTACTGAATGCTTGAAATGAGGCTAGTCTGGACTGACATGTACTCTAAGTATGAAATACATGCTGGACTTCAAAACAGGAGTTTAAAACCTCTCAACAATTTGAATATATTGGTTTACATAAAAGATATTATTAAAATTGATGTCATGTGTTCTTTGTACCTCTATAATATAGCTACTAAAACATAAAAGATTACATATGTGGTGCTATGGGGTGAGCCTCCTTCTCCAATGTAGCAGCTCCCAGTTTAGGAGATGAGACTCTAGGAAGTTGTTAGATACAGATGAGGTCATGAGGGTGTATTATGGGATGTAGGACTTTCACTGAAACACCAACTCTTTCTCCCGGCCATGTGAGGGACACAGTAAGAAGCCATCCAGAAGCCATCAGAACCTGAGTACAACGGCACACTGCTCTCTTGAACTTCTAGCCTCCAGAACTGTGAGAAAATAGGCTTCTATTGTTTAAGGCATTCAGGTCATGATAGTTCAGTGATTAAGTCTGTTGGCTTGCTTTATATTTCTGTGGGACAGCGCTGATCTAGATTTTCTAGAACATCTACATACCAGGCTTTGTCACTTTTACTTTTTTTTTTTGTATTGTACCTATGAGAGCAGGGATGGCCTCTGGAACATTCCTTGAGACTTGGCTCAGTGTCCCCCCTAGTGGCTGCTCAGTAAACACCTGATAATTAGGTCCTTTTCTTTGTAAGCAATGGTTGGTGTCTGGGTAATTTATGCTGTGGAAGTCATTCAGAGGATATGGGTGGCAGCTGGAATCTCTGCAGGCCAGAAGAACAGGCTAGGGTGTGGGTGGGTAATACTGATGCCAACAGCCCTGCCCCAAATCTCTCTGCAGATGAGTCTAGGAGACTCTCCCGCTGCTCCAGAGAAGCAGGGCTGGCTGCCTGGTGACAGACTACTTTTAGCCTCACGAGCTTCTAGTTGAGTCTGTTAGCTGGGTTTAAATCAGAAACTCTAGCTGCAAGAGAGGTTAGGAGGGTGAGTTTGTTTTCTAGGTTCTTTGGAGAATGGGTTCTTATCCTATGAAGGGGCTTTACTCCTCTACTCTAACTTAGGATTGCCAAAAGAGAATAACCAGACTTCTTTACCATAGTAGCCCAAGACCTTGTAAATATGTCTGCAACTCAACAGACATTTCTACCAAGGTTCCTCCGCCGAACAGTCCACAATACAGGAAGCATTTTAGATCTTCTTGTTGATCTTCAGGAAAGTATGGAGAATGTTATGCATTCTACTGCTATGATTAGAATATTATATCCATAGACATTTCTCACATGATAGTTTAATATGGAGACACAGGAAGGCACTTTAACCAATCAGCAATAACATGGTTTCATAGCCTTGAAACCTATGGATTAGGTTAAAAAAGATGTTGATTTCATTGAATGGGATCTTTCTTGTTTTACCATCAACAACTTTTCTGGAATACCTACTTTCTCGAAGGTGTCTCACCTATGACAAACGTCACCAAGACACACCTCTGTATTGTTCAGTTCTGTTCAGTTCCTGTTATTAGGACAGTGGCTGTGAACAACTCAGAAAAGGAAAGGACTTGGGGAGGGCAGGGGTTAGGGGTGGGTCTTGCATTGTTGTTCAGGCAGCCTGGAACAACTTCTGGGCTCAAGTGGATCTCTTGCCTCCACTTTCAGAGTAGCTGTGTTCTGCTGTCCCCAGTTTAGGGCAGAAAATTTCTTGATCTGCCTCAGCCAGAAAGAGATGGAGGCAAGGCTGCCATGGCTTTCTATTCAGAGGGCACTGGCCAAATAAATCACACCTAGAGCAGAGGAGAGAAGCTTTGTTCTGAGACTTCTTCAAACAGGCGTTTCCCTGGGCGGCTCTTCCCAGCTTCATCTCCCTCAAATAGAGACAGCCTCTGACTTGAGTCTGCTGTACAGTCTGCCAAAGGAAGAGGAGAGTGGGAGGAAGAAGGGAGCGACCTATCTAGGGCCTACGTTAACCATTCCATACCGAGTACTGGGTTTATACCAACAATAAATATTAAGTAAAGCCAGCTTGCCTATTGTTAATGAGTGACAGGGGCCCAGGAACGCCTCGCAGCTGGAGAAATAAAATAAGAAGGGAAGGTCAGAATAGGGCCTGCTAGCTCCGTACTTGTTTTGTCCTCGGGGGTCCCTCAGGCAGGAGCACACATACTCGGGAAGAAGGGGCACGGGACTGCTGTGGGGACGGGGTGGGGGCTCTCCTCCTCCAGCCTGCGCGGGGCGGGTGGCTGGCAGCCGCGGGGTTACTCTCGGTCAAGGTGCTGCTGGCCGAGCCAGCTCTCCCAGACTGCGAGGAGGGTGTGTGGCGTCGCGCAGCTCCTCTGCCACGTCGGGTGGCGTGCATTCAGCTCGTGGGCGCACTCGGGGTCCCCGATGCAAAGCCAGCCTAGGCGGCTCCAGGCTCGGGCCACGCTCCCCTGCGCCGGACGCTGACTCTCAGCCCAGGTCTCTGGCACCCGGCGTTCTTAGCCGCGGGACACAGATCAAAGGAGAGTGGGAGCGGAGGGGAAGCGAGGGAGACGGTGTCTGATTTCACGGGGCAGGTAGTTAACAGCAGCCGGCGGAGGCGGGGCTGTTCCCCGAGAAGGGTCGCCCGGTAATGGGAAGAGGGCGCCACGTGCCCGGCGCGGCCCTCTGCACTTTGCTACCCGAGCTGTTAATTTCCCCAAGATCCCTAAGTGGCCGGCCCCGTTATCACCTGTCGGTGGCTACGAGGGCACGCGGCCTTGGAGAGCTGGGTGCCTGGCTCCAGAGTTCCCCAAGTTGGGTTTGTGTGACCCTGAAGCCCCAGCCACGCCCACGGACGCTCAGCCCTGCGGATTCTGGTCCAATCAGGCAGGCCGCACCTGTGGAGGCCTCCCTGGACGGGAGGGGGAGGAAGAGCAGAGGGATCCAGAGAAAGGCCCCGGAGGCGCACCCTCATCCGGATGCTGGGCCCGCGGGGCGCGGAGAGACCTCCTGGCGCCTCTGTACCTCGGAGGGGGGGTGACCTTCCCTTCTCCGAGTGCGTCCTCCGCGGGCGGACGGTTTCTAGGAAATGATCCTTGTGGGGAGGCAGGGGCGAGCCGAGGATTTAGATGTCAAGGGGGAGGACACGCAGGTGAAGCAGAAGTGACAGGAGGCCCTGGCAGCCCGCTGGGCCACCGGCCGGGAAGCGGAGGCTGCGCGTGCGGGTGCCCACGCGGGTGTGCGCGCGCGGGGCGCTTTCATTCAAACTTTGGGAAGCCTCGGTTCCGGCGTCAGCGAAGGTGTGACCAATCAGAGTCCAGGGAGGGGAATAAATTATGCAAATAACCATCTGGCGATGGGTCAGATGACTCCGATGGTTTTAAAAAAAACTACCTCTCCAGGAGTCCGCCGAGTGACAGCGGCCAGCCCGGCTGCCCCGCATCTCCGGGTGAGGCCAGGTCTGGGTCTGCAACAAGTCCCTCCGCCTTCGGCTCCCGGCGCGCCGCGGCCCGCGCAGCCCGCTCCGCAGTGCCATCTTCTCGTCCAGCCCACTACCTGGTGCCCACTTCTGGGCTTCCCGGCACGGAGGGTGGTGGGGTCCGGGTGGCACTTTTTGTTTTTAATTCTCCTTTCTGAGGAGGGGGCGTGGCAGGGAAGGATGAGAAACTCCATTCTTCTGTTCTTCTTCTGGAACGTCTATTGTTGCTTTGCGGCGGGAAGCCCCACACCCGTGGGTCCTGAGGGACCACTGGAAGGTAACGTGCAGTGCGTAAATTGTTATTAATTATTGGTTACTTATTATACTTTCTCCCCCCCCCCGCAGTTCTTTTCTGGGCCGGGCTCCCCTGTTCTGCCAACCATTCCTGTTTCTACGGAATCCTTCTTCCTTGGGCATTGCGCTATCCACGTTCTCCTCCTAACTCTCTGAGGCTGCTTAGTGGTGTATTACCTAGATGGTCACCCCGGAGACCACAGGTGGTCAGGGTGTGACCCCCCCTCCCCCGGGCTCCCTTTACGTGGTTCCCTTAATCGGCGCTGTCCAGCCTGCAGAGCTGCTTGCCAGCAACCACAATTAAACCTTGTCTTGTCTTGCTCTGAATCTTCTCTCCTGCCTCCTTGTAATGTTGGTGTGTTTCAAAAGTTAAGGTGTCAGGGTAGCCTGGCCTTAGTTTGAGGAGTGCTTGAAGAGCCTAGGTAACTCAGGGTGAGAAGCTGCCTGACAAGGTTAGCCCGCCTCTGATTTCAGCCTCTTCCTCCTCAACATCTTCTCTTCCACTCTTGTCTTCCTCCTCCTAGCTTCTAGCTTTTCTTTCTCTTTGGTTCTGGGTGGTGATCTCTTGATGGCAGTTTGCACTGGTGGAGTGAGGGTAGGGTCACAGAACTGTGAGCAGTGAAGACAAGGAGCTTCTGAATGTGGTCCCAACATCTCATTTGCTGATCTTCAGAAGTTGGGCAAGTGCCATTGTTGCTATGTAAGGGGGGAGTGCTCATTTGAATGGTTGGGAAGGCTTTACTTAACACGTTTCCAACTCCTGTGCTCACTGGAAGTATGACTTGAAACATGCTAAAGTTCCTTCCAGCTTCCCTGCTCAGTGCTTCTGAGTAGCTGGGGCCATTTCATTCATTCCTGAAGCATTCCTTGTGTTTCTGCTTAGTGCTAGCCACTCTTCCAGGAGTAGGCATTCCCTGCCCTCCTGGAGCTTGCATGTCAATGGTGGGGGAGACAGGCTAAATTAACTAGCTAGCTAACTAACCAACTAACTAGCTAGCTAACTAACTAACTAACTATAGTAGTCGGGATTATGGAGGAAAAGAAAAAGAAAATAGGGCTGGTGGGCAAGGTAGTACATTTTAATTTATGATTAAAGAAAGCCTTACTGAGAACCTGACCCTTGAGCAAGAAGCCAAGGGTGTGGGGGAGGGGAAAGGGAAGAGAATGAACCACAGACGAATCTGGATACAATAATCGTAAAATCTTAGAGGCTGAAGTGACTGTGGCCCAGAATGGCAGACATGAAGCTGGAGAACTATGGGTGAGATCAGGCCAGATGGCAAGGTGAACCTTCTATGCATGGAGTTAAGTTTATCCAGCAGACCTCTTGTCTCCTCAGCTTCCCCATCTGCTCTGTGTGAGTGGCTGTCTGGATATAGGTTGGAGAAGCTCAATTACACGACTTATTCAAAATTTTGCCAGTTGGGTTCTCTGTTCAATATTTTCATGACAGTTACCTAAATTCTGTTCTTATGTATCTAGCTGCACTTTCTGGAACTTTGTCCTTATTACATTTGGTTCATTTTTCCCCCCCACTGTCCCCATGATCCCTGATACCACTTCCCTCTCCATAACTGTAATTTCTCTTCTGTGATCCTGATCCTCCCGCCCTTCCTCCCTCCATTCCTCCCTTCCTTCCTTTCCCCTTTATGTTCTTCCTTTCTTTCTTCCTTCCTTTCTTCCTTCCTCCCTTCCTTTCTTGCTTTCCCTTTCTGTCTTCCCCTTCCTTCCTTCCTTCCTTCCTTCCTTTATTCTCTCTCTTCTCTTTCTTTCTTTCTTTCTTTCTTTCTCTCTTCCTTCCTTCCTTCCTTTTCCTGCCTTTTTTTTTTCTTGTGCCAGTGCTGGGGCTTGAACTCAGGACCCAGGTGCTTAGCAGTCCCTTAGCTTTTACACTCAGGGCTAGTGTTCTACCATTTGAACCACAGCTCTGCTTCTGGCTTTTTTTTTTGCTAGTTAATTGGAGACATGAGTCTCACATTCTCCCTCCTCCCTCCCCCCCCTGCCGCCCCCAGGCTGGTTCTGAACTGTGATCCTTAGGTCTCCGGATTACAGGCACGAGCCATCATGCCCAGCTTCCTTTTGTTTCTTAACTATATGATAAATTAAACTTCTGGATGGTATCTCCATTGCTGGGTGACAAAAGTGTGTATTTATCTCCTTAACACATTATGAAATGATGTTTACCAACATGGAAGAAATAAAGCAATGATGATGGTGCCTACCTAGTGTACACGACCATCCATGCATGGGCTGCACTTGGGGAGTGGGGCTGTGTCCTAAGCAGTACTGTATATAACCATGAGCTGGAGGGGTGGCCTTGCTCCTCTGAGGAGTTTCTCCATAGTGTCCATCATTTGTGTAACAAACTGAGAGGATGCCTGGAACCTGTAGGCTCTGCAGAGGGCCTTGAACATGCAAGAGGTCCTTACAAGAAGTGTTGGAATAGATGGGATATCAAGGAAAGCTCTGCACAACAGATCAACAGCCTCTTGCTTGCCATTGCAAAACCCCTAATATCATGAAGTTAGAAAATTTGTTGGGAACTTACTTGGCAGCCAGACTTGACCTTACTTGATCCGAACTCATTTGGCAGCACAACCTGGCCTGGGCCAGCAGGAGGCAGTTTGTAATCTTTACTTTTGCCCTTGAGCGTGAGGGGTCCTATATTACTCTACAGAAATAGTAAAGTTCATGGTTCATGGGGGTATATCAGACCCCCAGGAGTATTATATAACATAATATATGGTCCATAATGCCTTTTTAAAGTATGGAACTTTCTTACTGGGTACTAGTGGCTCATGTCTGCAATCCTTGTTACTTGAGAGGTTGAGATCTAAGGATCTTGGTTAGAAGATACTTTTTGGTTAACCATCAAAAAGCTAGAAGTGAAACTGTGGCTCAAGTGGTAGAACATCAGACTTGAGTGAAAAAGCTAAGGGACAGTGCTCAGACCTTGAGTTTAAGTCCCAGTAACAGCACAAAAAGAAAAAGAAGAAAAAGAAAGAAAAGAAGAGAAAAAGAAAAAGGAATATTTTGAATTCTGAATCTCAAGTAGTCCTAATGATTTCAGGAAAAGAACCAAGTAAAATGTAAAATAGGCATGTGGGAGAAAGAAAAAAAAACAAATTAGTTTGGTAGGGAAGAATAGAGTGAAGTAATAGAGATAGCTTTTTGTTTTCAAGCCACAGTAATTAATTAATCAAATGGCTAATTACTACTCAGTGCATATAGATGAGATTTGCAACTTCTAATATCATTATGATTATCCCAGAAAGTGATGAGGGACATTCAGCAGGTATAAAAATCCAAACCCAACTTTCTCATGAACTAAACTGAACTAGAACTAGACCACAGCTTGCTTAGTATCAAGCCACCAGAAGCTTCCATGCTCTGTTCTTCCTCCCCAGATGAGCTCCAGAGACCCAAGGAGATACTGATTTCAACCAAACCCTCTGTGAAGTTTAACCTCCACACCTCTAAGGACCCAGAACATGAAGGATGTTACTTCTCTGCTGGCCACGATCAGCTTTTAGAAGACTGTGGCTTCAACATCACAGCCAAAACCTTTTTTGTCATTCATGGATGGACGGTGAGCCCGGGGAGGGAGCTCTGCGGCTTTATACAAGATTTGCTTCCTTTTGTTTTGGTCAATTAAAAAGAATACGGGTGCTTCCAGATTCCAAATACTTTCCCCTGCTTTCCTTGTGGGCTGCTTGTGTTTCCGACAGCTGTGAAGAATGTAATGGGCACTTGGTGGAGGGAGCAATCTGGACTCCAGCAGGGTGGCATTTAGTGCTGGCATACAACAGGCTTTCAGAAAGTGGCTCTCCTGAGGGCAGCAGCCCAGCTCCACTGGTTCTGAAGGACCCTCTAATTACACTTAATTACATTGGTCAACCACTGCCCGGAGGGGGCCATCCTGCCTTCGGCGCTGAGCTGAACTGAAACAACTTGACTGGCATAGAGAGAGTTTATGAGGGGCCAGCTGGCCAGGATGGTTGACTGCTGTTGGCATGATGCCCTCCTGTGTGCATAGAGATGGCTTCGTTTAAAGGCACTGGGGCTCTTTATCTGACCTAGCTGAGCAATTCCCATTGAAAGGCCCATGACAAACTTCAACAACAAAAAGTTTTCACGCTTAGCCTCAGAAACTCTTGGCCAGAGAGGGATTCATTCATTCATAGTCTGAAGGAAAATGGCAGTATGAAGTGAGCAGATCTCTGCCTGGGTGGGTACATTCTCCCTCTTAATGTGGAGAAAAGTCCTATCTGTTACATTCTTTCTGGGTTTTTAGGTCTATCACCAACAGTTAGGGTCAGAGTTGGAGCTAGGGAAGGGTAATGTGAATGAAGGCATGATCAAGGGACTGTCCATCTGTCCTGCAGTTGGAATCATACATTTGAACTTTCATAAGGCCCTCCTGTCAAAATGCAAAATACTTGCAGCCTGCAACTTACAAATGGGGTGCATTCCAGAAAGTTCTTTTGTAATGTGTTTGGAACTTGGAACAGCACTTTCCCATAGAAAGCAAGATTTGTAAATAGTGTTTGAGTTCCCAGGCTAGGCACAGAAAATCCATTTATTTGATAATGTACTTGTGGATAGGTTTACAACTGGCTCCAGTCACCATTTGTAACTTTGTTTCTGTGGGAAAATGTGTTCTGAGTTCTAATTTGGGATTCTAGGGATGGATTTTCTCTACTCTGGGGTCAACAGAGATGGCAGAGATGGGTTGTGGGAAGGAGCCGTTTGTTAACTCTGTGTTTGCCGAGGCGACAGCATCTCCTTGCGTCTCTAAGGGAGGAGCCAGTTCTCCAGGGCAACCCTCCCTGGCTGCCTTTGAAGGATGGACCAGGCCACTTATTTGACTCTGACAAGAACTAAGATTAACTAGCATCCCCACCAATAGTTATGCTTCAAACAGGGGGACAACAGCAAAGGATGCCAACTATGAAAGCTTCAGTGGGGAAAACTAGGGATGTAGAAAGCAATGGTAACTGGGTGCCAGAGACTCACACTCATAATCCTAGCTACTCAGGAGGCTGAGATCTGAAGCCAGCCTGGGTAGGAAAGTCTGTGAGACTCCAATCTTCAATCACACACACACATACACACATACACACACACACACACAATCAATCAATGGAAGAGGTAGCAATTTAACTTCTGGATTGCTTTGCTCATGGGTATGAAGGTTCTAAAATCAGAGGGAAGAAGGTACAATAGAGTTCCTGAAGCTCAGAATAATATAATAAAAATTCCTCCTTTGCAGATGAGTGGCATGCTTGAAAACTGGCTCTACAAACTTGTATCAGCTTTGCAGACAAGAGAGAAAGATGCCAATGTAGTGGTGGTTGACTGGTTGCCCCTGGCTCACCAGCTGTACATAGATGCAGTCAATAACACCAAAGCAGTGGGACACAGTGTGGCAAAGTTGCTTGACTGGTTGCAGGTAAGTGAGCAGGAGAGAGAGTCATCTCCTCTCATGAGCAGAATATCCCTCTCTTTTATTCTTTCTCTCTCTTGTATAAAATAATACCTATGTTATATATATATGTAAAACACATAAAGTAATAATACATTGTACACATAATATATATGTGTATATATAGTATTATATATGCATATCATAGGTATATATATTATGTTTTGAATAGCATGATGGTCATTCCATACAATCTCCTTTGTCATAAGCAGGATTTTAAACTCAAACATTCTTAGGAAATATTACCACACATGATCTTCCAGATGGATCAAAATCTTTGGCATTAATTTTTTTCCAAATTAGGCATTGCATGAAATGTTTGAATGCTGAGACTTTTAGAGGGCTTTAAAATTATTGATAGAGGGCTGGGAAGGTGGCTCAGTGGTAGAGTGCTTGCCTTGCATGCCTGAGGCCCTGGATTCGATTCCTCAGCACCACATAAGCAAAAAGAAAAAAGCCAGAAGTGGCGCTGTGGCTCAAGGGGTAGAGTACTAACCTTGAGCTGAAGAGCTGAGGGACAGCGCCCAGGCCCAGAGTTCAGGCCCCACAACAGGACCCCCCCCCAAATAAAAAACAAAAAACAAAAAAAATTATTGATAGATCTTTGGATCTTTCCTGCTAATTTGCTGAAAGTAAAATTTACCTCATGGGTAGTTACTTGCTGATCTTACAAGCTGAGTCCCTTTGGCTGGTTGGGAATAGCCAGGGTCCAGGAAGGGCTTAGAATTTTAACTAGCTACAAAGTCTGTTTTTGTCTCTCTGAAGAGTGTCTGTGCTGAAGGTAGGAAAGAGGTTGAACCAAACTAATGTGGCCTATTTGTTCAAAATAGTAAATGTGCAAAACAGAGCTTGAAGTAGTGTGTTTGCCTTTTATAAGTCAGTGATTTGCCTGAGATCAGACGAGTTAACTGGGATGGGAGGGGCCAAAGCACATTGGCAAGGTGATCTGAGAGTCAAGGCTATTCTAGCCTGACCTTCCTTTCACCCATGGGAACCAATGAATCCAGAAATTTAGTTAGGATTCTAGAGTAGGCGTCTTTTCTCTGCCCAAGTTGTTGCAAAGAGTTTGGTTCCTGAGCTAGGGGATCAAAGCCCCCACTACTGAGTACCTAGAAGGGGATAAAACTCTAAGTCTGGGGCCCAGGTGGGCTTGTGGTGGGGAGGTCAGCAGCTCCCGGGGGCAGAGTAGAGGTGAATCATACTAATAAGTATGATATATTTGTCCTCCCCACTTCTGCTCTTGCTCTGCCTCATAGATCTGTCAGAAAGAATAGAAAACACGCAGACAACATGAGGGAACAATCAAGCATGCAGCCCTGCAATCACGTCCTCAACCCCACCCCCTTGGCATTTGAAGTGGCACCTGCTACTCTTGACCTCCCTGCCCTGGCTGTGACCATGGCCCATGACGCATGTTGCATAGCCAGCCATGCCCTGAAGAATATGCATACCCATGATTCCTGTGACTCCTCCTCCATAGGAGGACTTGCTGAATGGTTGCTGGCCCTGGGCTCAAGACTACATTCTTATACTCACATGCTTTGGTGACTTCTTTCAGGAAAAGAATGGATTTTCACTTGGGAATGTTCACTTGATTGGCTATAGCCTTGGGGCACATGTGGCTGGGTATGCTGGCAACTTTGTGAAAGGAACTGTGGGCAGGATCACAGGTAAGCTCTGTTTTCCATCAGCACCAGCAACCATATCCCCCAGCTCCTTCTACTACTCTCCAGCCTGGGTGTTCTGAATTGTTGCATCTAAATGAGGCTACTTGAGTGACTTGTAGAAGGCTGGTTTGGGAAGGAATCTGGAGAACATTTGATCTCGAGCATTTTATCAATTTAACTTGTGTGGGCTGCTCATCTGTAAGATCAATAGATAAAGATATTTTTGTGGAAGCTGTCTTTATTAATCTTGTTCAAGCTAATCTTGCCATTTGGGCCTCTTTCTTCCCTCGTAGACTCTCGGGGTCTCAGAGCACCAGAAAGTACAGTTTGGAAGCCACTGGTCTAGTCCAACAGTTGAGGGAATATTCAGAAGTGAAGTCCTTGCTCAAGGCATATAGCTAAGAAGTGAAGAACAAAAACTGAAGTAGAGCCCTGGCCCCCAGGCTTCTGGGTATTCATTATAGAGGGGGTGTTCCTACTCCACCCACAAGGCTCCAGGGACTGAGACAAAAGGAAATAATGATAAATTCTATCTCTGGTTCTATTCATCTACCAGTAGCCTCTCTCTGATATTTTTATGCTTTCTAGTAACATTTAGAATGTGTGATTGAACTTTGTAATTAAAGAGACTTTTCTGATATTGGTGCCAAGGAAGCCAATAGCAAAACAAATTTTCTATTCTGAAAACTGCCATGCAGTGAGCTTTTAATGTTAGAGTTTGAATTAAATCATTTAATGGTGGTACCATGTACAAAAGATCTTCTTTGCCATTTTGAGGCCCCTCAGATATATAAGAAAATCTTCCTCTTCCCTAAAATGAATGGTAGTATTCTGACCTATTTCTCCTTCCCACATTCTTTGACATGGATTCAAGATTTTAAGGGTGGTGTTTTCTGTTGCTACAATTGCATGGCACAGACTGGGTAATTTATTTATTTATGCTATTATTTTTTGGGGGGGGTCCGGTTATGGGGCCTGAACTCTGGGCCTGGGCACTGTCCCTCAGCTCTTCAGCTCAAGGCTAGCGCTCTACCACTTGAGTCACAGTGCCACTTCCGGCTTTTTTTCTTTTTGCTTATGTGGTGCTGAAGAATCAAACCCAGGGCCTCAGGCATGCAAGGCAAGCGCTCTACCACTGAGCCAGCCCACACTGGGTAATTTATAAAGAGCAGAAGCTTCTGTAGCTTCTTTTTACTGCATGAGAGCATGATGGAGGGCCTTAGGATCGCAGAACAAGCATGTCAGCTTGGGGCTCTAGTTCCCTAATAAAGCACATGAATTGATATGTGAATTTGAGGAATGATTTTCTACAAATGAACTGTGTGTGTATGCATGTGCGTGCGAGCATACATGCATGTGTGCATGTATGTGCACTGGTCTTGGGGCTTATAATTCAGGACTTGGGTGCTATTAATTTTTTTCACTCAAAGCTGGGCTCTACCACTTGAGCCAGAGTTCCACTTTTGGCCTTTTGATGGATTTATTGGAACTAAGAATCTCATGGACGTTCCTGCCTGGGCTGACTTCAAACTGTCATTCTTAGTTCTCAGCCTCTTGAGTAGCTAGGATTATAGACATAAACCACTTATACTGGGTTACAAATGGACTGGTACCTTTGGAGGTACATTTAAACCAGTTTCCTTTTCTTTGATGTTTTTATTTTAAAGCAAGACAAGTACAGAGGAATTCTTTTTTTTTTTTTTCCAGTCATGGGGCTTGAACTTTGGGCCTTGGCACTCTTCAGCTTAAGGTAAACCTCTACCACCTGAGCCACAGCACCATTTCTGGTTTTCTGGTGGTTTATTGGAGATAAGAGTCTCATAGACTTTCCTGCCTGGGCTGACTTTGAATATGGTCCTCTGATCTCAGCCTCCTGAATAGCTAGGATTACAGGTATGAGCCACCAGTGCCTGGCTTAGAGGAATTCTTAGAGTGGTTTAATAAAAGTAGAATTTCAGGTTTTGGCAATAAGCTAGTAGGGTAGGGTTTTTTATTTTTTATTTAAGTGTGGTTTTATTGGTCCTCTTCTGTTGCTACCGCCTCGACCACCAAGGAAGACGCGAAGACGCGACACCGAACTCTTCTCTCTGCAGTTTATTCAGGATCTTTGAGCAATCTTCTGACCCCAGCCCCGGGGAGAATTCCCCACAGCCTTAAGTACCCGCTGGGTAGCCAACCCTGATACGCCACGTGGGAACCACCAATAGGTTCAGGTGCGCGGAAGCAAGCCAGATTCTTTGCCTTAGCCAAATAAGGAGTTGTTTACCACAGAGAGCACTCGCCATCGGGAAGGCGGAGGGCGGAAGCCGGCGCCATCTTCCAGGTGCGGCCTCTCGCAGCTCTCTACACTTTTCATTGTGGTCTCTGGGCTTAAGTCTAATATGTTCACACACAGAGACATATGCTTGTACATTCCATTAGGAAAGCTTGGAGCTTTGGCTTTTATTACCAAGATGGCAAGGCCTGAGGTATATAAAGTGGACTGTGATTATATGGTCATCCCTCACTGCTCATTAACCCACCCACTGCTGGTGCAAAGTAGTTTCACCCAAAGCTATTCTGTCCAGCTGTCTGAGCACCTGAATGAGAGGTTGGATGCTCCAAAGCTAGGCTAGTCTGGTACAGACTTGGCACTCAAGCAGTCCCTACCAAGGTCAAAGCCCAAAGTGTCTTTGACAACAAGGACAAACTGCAGACTTTGCCTTGCTTTGTCTCTAAATCTGAAATAAGCTGGGGGGGGCACTTTCTAGTTCTTTCTCCATGCTTATTTGGGGTCAGCTGCTGAGGTGAAGGCTTCTTGCCTGTGGGTAGCTGAGGAGCTAGCAAAATGCCTATCAGGAGCCATCCCTTCCTCCTGACTCTCTGTGTATGTGGGAGCTCAATTCTGTCCTGCGTCCAGCAGCACTTCAAGAGGTATTGGCTTACTGTGTCTGTTTGATGGAGGAGGCTGTCTCCTCTCTGTTACCTTCCATTGTTAGACTTCTTTCAGACTTGTGAACCTGGCTCTCTTGACTGTTAAGAGGCTGGATGTTGTAGGCTTCTCATAGTTCTCAGGCCAGTGATACTTCTGAGCTGTGGCCACCAATAACCTGCAAGAGCATACTCGAATCTCAATTTTCCTGGGGTCAGAGATCATGGACTGGACTTGGCAGGAGTTTTACTGTCTTCTGTTCCATCTAAAGGTCTGTGACTTCTAATAGACTAACAAAGAAATTATGCATTTCCAAAGAACCCATGTCCACTTAATCATAAATTTAAAAGCAAGCAGATTAATTCATTTAGGAAATATGATTTGTGTGTATGTGTGTATTCCAGTCCTAAGCTTACACTCAGAGCCTGGCTCTGTCCCTTAGCTTTTTTGCTCAAGGCCAATGCTTTACCATTTGAGCCACACCTCCACTTATAGCTTTCTGAGAGAAGACTCTCGAAGACTTTCCTACCTGGGCTGGCTTTGAACATGGTCTTCAGATCTCAGCTTCCTGAGGAGGTAGGATTATAGGCATGAGCCACTAGTGCCCCACAAGAAATATCAATTAAGTATTCCCTGTGTGCAGCCTCTGGGTTAGATGCTTCCTCATTGTCAAAAACCTTAAGCACACTTATTTGACAGGTAAGTGAAGAGGTACTGCATGCTATCTTTAAATCACATAGCAGAGCCTTTAACAGGCAGGAAAAAGGAAGATTCAATGATTTAAAAATAGGCCCAGTATTTTGTATCTTAGAAAAGCAGATTCCAGAGGCTCCGCTTAACACTAAGCTATGCTGCTTGTCTCCTAGAAGTGCAGGGAAAAAAGTAGAGTAGAAATGGGGTACCTGTGGTACACCTCTAATCATAGCTACTCAAGAGGCTGAGATCTGAAGATCGCAGTTCATAGCCAGCCAGCCCAGATAGGAAAGTCTGTGAGACAGACTCTCATCTCAATTAACCAGGGAAAAGTTGGAAATGGAGCTGTGGCTCAAGTGGTAGAGCACTAACCTTAAGCAAAGAAGCTAAGGGACAGCACCCTGGCCCTGGGTTCAAGCTCTACACCCCCCCCCCACACACACACAGAGTAGAAGTAGATTGTGCCACTTTCTGCCTTGTATCTGTGGGCCATGGATGTGTGCAGAGACTGTCAGAAGCGGCTCAGCCTGGGTAGGTGCCCGACTGTGAGACCCCAGCTGCCCACATTCCTCCAGCACAGCTTGGTTTCCATGGCGCTGCCTGTCTGGTGGGGACCTTTGTTCACATCAAGCAAAGAGCCTCTCTCTTGTTTTGGTTGCAAAGCAGAATGTCCTTTTCCTTCTTTCTTTTTCTCTTCAGTGCACATGGTGAGAGGCAGGGAGAGGCTGCTTGTGTCACTACTTTGGTCCATGTCCCTTCGGAAAGGTGCCCTCTGGGTGGGTACATTTTTGTTCCATCTTTTTGGGGGTTTTGGATGAGAGGTGAGCCCCCAAAGCAGTCTGAACTCCATTCCTGCCTTGGTTATTCATAAAGTTATCTAAGCTTCTGGAAACAGTTTTCATCTTTGGCCAGTCTCGCAAGTCATGGGTGCTACAGACTGGTCACTGTTGACAGTAGGTCTGTCTTTTGTTTCTCCTCCAGTGGACCTCTGCACTTCCCAGTGTGCTCCCTGGCTCTTGTGCTGGGGAGGGAGGACACAGCTCTGCTACCTATCTCCTCCTTTCAGAACTTGGTTCTAGGCCACATCCCCTCCTGGTTTTGATGCTTCTAGATTGGGGATTCTTGCTTTCTTTCTGTTTCTCTTTTTGAGACAGGGTCTCACTATGAGTGCTGAGGTTAGAGTCTTGCGTCACTGTGTTTGGCATAGACCAGGGGTTCTCAACCTGGTGGGCTTGGACACATAGAGACCAGTGCTGCTTTGCTGTGCCTGCTGGATTGTGGGGAGTGGGGTCAGATATCACCAAATGTCTCCTGGGGTTGGGGATCGGGCCCAGTGGCTAACCATTCCACTCCACTATTCTAGGCTAAATACAGACCTTTATTTACTTCTCATTATTAACATCCCCCAGTTCTTTCTGTGTGTCTGTATGGCCAAGAGCCTTTCTGGCTCTCATAATCACCTGGGCTTGAGAATAGTAAGTAATATCCCCACACTTAAGCTCTTAGTACCTCTCATGAACTGTATAAATTAAGGCTTTCAGGTTATTTCATAGATGATCTTGTTGCACAGGGAAGTTTTTCACTCTCTGGTCCGTGGACCACCTGGAAAACCAATCTGTATTTCTGGGTTCCATGCCAGATGCCTCCAGTGAAATCTCTGAGAGGTCAGGTGCTTGGGAATCTGCATTTTATTGCAAGTTGTTTGGAATAGTTTTCCATTTATGTGGCTCAGAATTAAGAGACACACACAGGCTCACTCATTGCTGTGATTAGATGCCTAGCCCCTTTTCCCACCTCTCTTCTGGATGCTTCTACATACTCTTTGCTCCTGGGTCCTTCCAGGTGTTCTTTATTTAGAGCTACATGGTGGAATCCAGAATTTTAACAAGCTCCCCAATGCTATTGATGTAGTTTTGAGTGTGATGACCTGCACCCTATTCAGTGTTGCTTGCTGGCTCAGCCTAAAACGTTTGGAGGAAAAAGAAAGGTTTCTTTCCTCTGTGAAATAGAGGAATTCTAGAGGTCTGGCTTTAGATTCTTTCTTTATTGGTGATCTTGAAGATACTTTTCTCTTTCTCCATCTCAACGCTGGGCCTGACTCATAGATAAAGGAAAGGGAAGAGTAAGTTCAAATACAAATTGGCCAGCTTGGGAGGCTGAATTCTTTCCAGCTTAGTTGTTTGGTGAAAGTGTTGTTGGAAATGAGTGCTGTGGAAGGCTAGAAGTGACGGCCCACTGGGCTGACTGGCTTACGTCCAGGCAGCTCAAGTTTTGGCTGCTTGTGGGCTGCTCAGAGCTGGTAGTAGTGTGAACCTTGTGGCTAGTTTACAGGGCTTCCCTCAGGACATGGAGATGCTATGACAGGTGCATTTATGCCCACCAGGACGTCTTGGGTCAGCTGCGCATGGAATTGGGCTCTGTATTTTCTTCCATGTCTGAATTCATGGTGCTGGACTTGGAGGGCATCCTTATTCTGCACCCTTGGGTTTGACTCTTCAGTCAAGAAGCATTGGCTCAGCCATTCTCACAGCGTCTGTTTTGGCCTCTCCTGCTGCAGGTCTGGATCCTGCTGGACCCTTGTTTGAAGGGGCTGACATCAACAAGAGGCTCTCCCCTGATGATGCGGACTTTGTGGATGTCCTGCACACTTACACACGCTCCTTCGGTGTGAGCATCGGGATTCAGATGCCAGTAGGCCACATTGACATCTACCCCAATGGGGGTGACTTCCAGCCAGGCTGCGGATTGAATGACGTCTTGGGATCAATTGCATATGGAAGTGAGTTTCTTATGTATTGTTCTGTGTTTGATTCCCTCTATACCATCTCCCCCTAAATCAGCCACAGCTGTCAGTCCCTCCAATTGCTTTCCATTCACTGTTCTTAACCTCCTTGCCTCCTGGCCCCAACACTTCATTTAAGGTTCTTCATTATCCTACATGGCTGTTAATAGATAGCATGCTCTCGGGGCTGGGAAGATGGCTCAGTGGTAGCGTGCTTG